AATCTGACCAGCCAACCTATCAGCACCTGTTATCGTAGGATCCATTGTAGTGCCAACGCCAATTAGACCCCCTGGCACTGCAAACTGCAGCTCATTTTGCTCAGCAAACAAAGAAACAATTCTAGTATATATTTTGGTGCATTTGATATTTTTGTTCTCATCCTCTAGTATAATTGCTGGACGAATTTCAACGAACTGATTCACCTGTAAAACACCCTGTACTAAACAAATTTGCCAAAAAACTCATGGTGAGATTTCCCATTCCAAATTAGTTGATAGAAGGTTAGTTGTTTTCACTGTCATGGAGTTGATGATGAAGATCGTGAAGTACTTGGAAATTGCGAGGGGATAATGTACAACTATGATATCAATTTAGTTTTCTGCAGAAATACAATCGTCCTACATTAAGCTAGGTTGACAAGTTTGTGCTGCACACAATTTGGTGCCAGAATTACACACCTGGAATGAAATTGTGTACCAATGCAAAACATAAGAAAACAAAATAAATGGCTGACAATGGTATTGAACCAGATGATTTCTTTAACAGATGTACTAGTCCACAACAAACTTATAAGAAAATCAATGCAGTTTGTACTGAATGCGTTGATTTGATATTGTTCAGCTACTTCAGTATTCTACATGTCTCTATGTATTGATGCTTCCACCAGCAACACCGCCTTTTATTTCCTCAACCTCGTAACCAAGTTTGTTGACGTCGAAGGATCGGATTACAATCATATGTGGCGGTGAGACAAAATTCCTTTTCGGAACAGGTATCTTTTTCACAATATACTCGCACACATCATCAACATTATACTTCAGCTGAGCAGAAATTGGAACCACCGGTGCACCTTCGGCAACAGTTCTCTGTAAAGTCAAAACGGCTGAGAAAGTGAGTGAACGTGTCTCTATATATACTAATAAAATAAGTGTAATTTAGTAATTTACCTTTTTAAATGGGATGGGTGACCTCCCCGTCCCTGCACCTAGCCCGCACGGGCTTTCGTTAACAAAAATTATCCCGGCCCAAATAAACTAAATGGTTCCCAAAACAGGGCGGGTACATGTCCTCGTGGGGCAAATTTTCATCACTTACTATATACAATATATATTATGGTTTTCTCCCAACTCTATTTATATACGTTTATTTTCATTACATTTATTACTTACAATTGACTCAAGTTTTCTAATTCAACATATTTCTCTGAGCTCTCCCCCTCTATATATAAGCATCCGAGAACAGATCTTTCTTTACCGACAAAGGGATATCCGAACAATAGATAACCATCAGGAGAAGCAACTTCGCTCACTGAATGGACCACTCTATTAGCTTATCACCGATGACGAGAGAGATTATGACCTTGAGAGACTTAAGGATCGTATTCAAAGCCTCAATATAATTTAAGGCCTTAGACGAAAAATATAAAAAATGGCCTTTTAATATCTAATATATATAATTGATTTTAGAGTTATACAACTTATACGAAAAAAAATATTTCAACAAAAACTAAAAAATAAAAAATAAAAAATAAAAAAGAAGAAGAAAAAGAAGATAAAAGTTAAAATAAGAATATGGAAAGTTTTACAAATTTTGGAATAAAAGAAACGTGAATGAGGAGCTGAGAAAGAAAAAAGAAGTAAGATAAAGATAGAAATATTTTGGCCCCTGTTAAATTTCTATTGCTTAGGGTCTAACCAATACAAATAAAAATTTTAAGGAGGTTAGGACTAGGATCTTCTACGTTAAAATCTCTCTGCATTATCTTAAGTTGAATAACTTTGACACGTGGCCTTTATCACACATGTATGACTCATAATGCACCACATCAGCAAATTAAAAATAAAAAATAAAAACTAAAATTGTTTAACCGATGAATGGAGAAACATCGTTAACAAATGCTAAAACTTCTTCAACTCACCATTTTTTCTAATCTCTTATGCCTGAAACTAGTGGGTCCTTCCTCTTTCCTCTCTCTAGTTTATTCCTTCAGTAATTCTTTCTATGTGTTTATATGTGTATATAAATACTCTCAAAATTTTGAAAGAATTGAACTAAATTAAGATTGGTACAGAATTGATGGTGAAGTTTGCAAATTTGTAGTGATCATCGGTGAGTTTTAACCCTAATCTTAAGTTTAGATTGAATAACTGGCAGTTAGACAGAATCAAATGCAATTACCAAGTTGTTGTAATCGACAAATCATATATTCAAAATAACACAATTATCTCATTGATTTAAATAATAAAAAAATAAAAACAAGAAAAATTGAACAACCTAGCATTATATCCAGTGGGAGGAGATTGGAAGGAGCAAAGTTTAGGTTTAAACATCAAAAAATAATTAGAATAGAGAGAACACAGTGAAAGGTGAAGAGATATGAGAATCTAGTTGCATGAGATGAAACCGAAAAAAAAAACCAAACCAAGAATACTGGTAGAGAGAGGTGGTTGGTTGGAAGCCTAAAACTATTTTTCTTTCTCAAAACATTATGTGGAGTGTTGTTAGCCCTAGATTTAGGTGAAATGACACATGTTAAAATGATTACAATTCAACTTAGGATAATGTGAAGAAGTTTTAACTTAGAAGATCCTAATCTAGTTATAATATATATATAAAAAATAAAAAATAAAAAATAAAAAGTTTGGGGCCTTTTTATTGGACAGAGTTTAATAATAAGAAGATTTTTAGGAATGTTATAATATAAACAAATAAAATTTTTTGAACCTTATAATTTAAGGAAATACAAATTATTGTGGGGCCTTTATATTGGTTGGACTGATAATAGGAATGAAATAAAAAATTTAGGAAGAATATAATATGAAGAAATAAAAAATTTAGGAAGGATATAATATGAAGAAATAAAAAAATTTGAAGCATTTCTATTGGCTGGGGGCCTTAGGCAACCGCCTAAGTAGCCTAAGAGTCTAGCCGCCCCTGATTCAAAGCTACCTTAGCTATGTAAGCACAGACACGGGATACAAACACAATACTACACGGATACGTTAATACGTCAAATTTTTAAAAAGTAGGACACGAGTACGGCATAGATACAATTACATATAAATATAAATATTTATTTTTATACATCTATTCAGTAATAGTATTATGGGCGAATTGCAAAAAAATTCCCATTGATTATCACTCACTTGCCAAAAATCCCCTTATGGATATTTTTAACAAGAAACCCCCTCAATTATATTAATGGGGCATTTTAACAAACATCCATCTCTATCTAATTTTGGGACGAAATTACCCTCATCAACAAAATTACTTTTTTTATTTATTATTATTATTTTTTTAACTCTCTCTCTAGCCTCTTAATAACCTCCATCCAACCATCGCCACAACCCACCTCTGCCACCGCCACCACAACCCACCTCCAAAATAGAAATATAATTAACTATTTATCTCTATTATATGTATATATATATATAGATATACTATACACAGTCACCACCAACACTGTGGCCACAGCCCACCCCTTCTCTCTCTCCACCGCAACCTCCACCCCAAATTGCAGTCGTCGGCTGCATCACCACCGCCTCTGTGCTCCTCCTCCTTAGTGTCACCGACTGATTGCAGATTTTGTCGTCAATTCCCGATTTTGGGTAGGTATTGATGGCCCAATTTCTGCCTTGAGTTTTGAAAATTTTCAGAACAAAAACATCTGCACCGGCACACTTTACCTGTAGAGTAGTATACTTTTAAGCCTATTATGGAAAATAGGAGTTTCTGATTTCAAAATCACTCTATGAAATTATAATACACACATATACATCAATGTTATGTTCATGCCAGTTACTTAACCGTTGTGTAAAATCGCTGGTCCAAAACCCTCTTAGGCTTATAACTGTATGAACTCTTCAAACTGTCAAGAAATTTAGGGGGGAAAAATGTTCATATATATATATATATATATTTATTTTGATGATACCATCGCAGAAATTATGGGTTCAATTTCGAAATGCCAAAAGCTTTCAAAGGAAAGCAATATCAAAAGAAGTGAAGAAGACAGGATAAGCACTTTACCAAGCTGTGTAATTAGGCATATCATCTCCTTCCTTCCAACAAAAGATGCAGTGGCAACTTGCATCTTGTCCACCAAATGGACGCATCTCTGGGGCACCAATGTGGAGGTTGCGATGGAGAGAGAGAGAAGGGGCTGTGTATATGTATATGTATATGTATACATACATATAATAGAGATAAATGGTTAATTATATTTCTATTTTTTGGAGGTGGGTTGTGGTGGCGGTGGCGGTGGTGGGTTGTGGTGGCATGGAAGAGATCGAGAGGCTAGAGAGATGGAAAAAAAAAAAAAAACAAAACAAAACAAAAAACTGTTGAAAAGGGTAATTTCATCCAAAAAATTTAGATAGAGATGAATGTCTGTTAAAATGAGGTTTCTTGCTAAAGTTTTTTTTTATAAAGCTTTAATTCAGTTTTAATTTCTGTACTAAGAGTTGCACTTGAATGAATTAGAAAATGAAATTATGTTATTATTGTAATGATTTTTATATCATATATATTAATATTTCACGACTTTGCCATAATAGTATTCATATTATTTTCAAGATTAGAAGGTAAACTTGTGTTTGAAATGTCTGAAAAGTGTCTAAAAAGTGTCAAAATTAATTTTTATTAATGGACACGTATATAAAGTGTCGGACACGTATCCAAGAAGTGTCGGTGTCCGACACAGGTACAACTCCTCCGTAGAAGCGTCCGTGCTTCCTAACTCCTCAGTAATTGAAGTTTCAAGATAATCTGGCAATCTTTGTTTTTTTTTTTATCATCACATTGGGTATTAAATGAAGTAACAAAATGAGCAAATGACACTACTAAAAAGATAATGAAAACAGTAATGAAAACTATTTTAATCCTTTAAAGAAATCGTATGCATCTGAACCATGTTTTCTTCTCCACCTAACAAATATTGTTCCCAGCAGTTCTCTGCCCTCCCACATCTTCTATCAAAACTCTATTCTCCTTTTACTACTACTACTAGTTTCTTATGTTCACTAACTACTCTGTTTCTTATGTTCACTAACTACTCTGTTTCTATCGCTCAGAAAGGTAATGCTGGGACATCAAGCTCAAGGGTGGTTCCAGCTTGAATCTGACCCCAACCGATGAGACGCCAGTGCTTCTCGATCCGCCTGCTCAGTGCAACCTTCTCTCCTGGGCTGGTACACACTGGTTTACTAAGTTGCAGCTTTGCCATGTCATTCCTTACAGCGATTATACGAGCTCCCGTTGACATGGACCCTATATTCAACATCAAAATCTCTCCCTTGACCAGCTTTGAGACCCTTCCCTGCTTCTCTGAGCCCTTTGTCTTAACACCCACAAGTCGGTACAGGAGGAAGAAATTAACCTGACCAAAGAGCACAAGGTTCAAAACCGGAAACACAAAAGATAGAATTTTACAAATAATAAAAGGGGATGACATTATGGCATGAAGCTCTTAGCAGGATCTTATAGATACAGCAAATAAGACCATTCTGAATGCTTGCAGAACAATATTATAATGTTTGAATTGCGGTTATAAATCAAAATGGAACGAACTTATCCAATTAGTGTCATATGCTATCCTCCAAAAACCTCAACCTCCGGAACCCCCAAGAAAACACACAAGCAACAAGGGGACAAGACGAAAAAAAGATTTTTACAAGCTCTTAAAAGATTGATTAAAAGGAATGCTTGGTGCAAAGTACTTCCCTAAGCAAATAATAATATTCTGTTATGTTTAATCAGCGCAAATAGACAGAGGTATAGAAGCAATAATCTATTACCTCCAGTTCAGTGTAAACTTCAGGCAGGGATCCGACCTCCCCAAGAACCTGACCAACCAACCTATCACCACGTGTTAACGTAGGATCCATTGTAGTGCCAACGCCAATTAGACCCCCTGGCACTGCAAACTGCAGCTCATTTTGCTCAGCAAACAAAGATACAATTCTAGTATATATTGGGGTGCATTTGATATTTTTGTGCTCATCTTCTAGTATAATCCCTGGTCGAATTTCAATGAACTGATTCACCTGTAAAACACCCTGCACAGAACAAATTTGCCAAAATAAGGTAATAGATAAATTTAAGATACCCAATTTTAAAATCTATCGTGCACAACAATTGCAGATTCTTTAACTAAGGGAAAAAAACTCATGATGGTGTGTTTTCATTGTCATGGAGTTGATGATGAAGCTCGTGAAGGACTTGGAAATTGCGAGGGGATAATGTACAACTATGATATTAATTTAGCCTTCTGCAGAAATACAATCGTCCTACATTAAGGTTGACAATTTGGTGCCTAGAATGAAATTGTGTACGTACCAGTGCAAAACAACATAAGAAGAAAACAAAATAAATGCCTGACAATGGTATTGAACCAGATGATTTCTTTAACAGCTGTACTCCACAGCCAACTTATAAGCAAATCAATGCAGTTTGTACTGAAGGCTTTGATTTGATATTGTTCGGCTACTTCAGTATTATTCTACATGTCTCTATGTGTCTTTAATTAGAGTAACAAGGAAGAAGCATATACCCTGAGGATGCTTCCACCAGCAACACCGCCTTTTATTTCCTCAACCTCGGAACCAGGCTTGTTGACGTCAAAGGATCGGATTACAATCATATGCGGCGGTGAGACAAAATTCCTTTCCGGAACAGGTATCTTTTTCACAATATACTCGCACACAACGTCAACATTATACTTCAGCTGAGCAGAAATTGGAACCACCGGTGCACCTTCAGCAACAGTTCTCTGCAATGTGAAAACCCCACATTATTTCAATACTAAAAATTTAAAAAGCAGGAAATGAATGACATTCAAAGACAAACCGTACAGACCTGGACAAATTTTTGAATCTCTTCCTTCTGATGGATGGATACATGTTGCGGAACCAGATCAACTTTATTTTGGACGATAATAATATGTTTAAGTCCTATAATTTCAACAGCAACGAGATGCTCGGCAGTTTGAGGTTGGGGGCAATCCTCATTGGCAGCTATGAGAAGTAAAGCTCCATCCATAATTGCAGCACCATTGAGCATAGTAGCCATGAGAATGTCGTGTCCCTGTAGGAAATAAAGGAAAAAAACATCAAGTAGTTAAAAGTTAGATTAACCTACAATGTCTACAGTTTTTTTTTTTTTTTTAAAGAAATTCCTACTCTCATTTTTTTCTACAATAAGCCTTTTTCACAAGTTTGGATGTAGCTCTAAAGTTACTTTCATGTATATAGATCAAGTCCGAAGATAATATTGGGAAAAGTACTTAGGGATGGGATAGCTTATTACCGGGCAATCGACAAAAGATATATGTCTGAGTAGTTTCATCCTACACTTTTCGAATTCAGGCACATCACAGAAGGGACTATCTTCTGTTGCACTTCCATATGCCCTGCAGATGATATTTTTTTACGTACATTAGACTAAAGTTGCAAAGTACGATGTTAAGTAATCATTACATTTCTTAAACACGAACATACTTGTAGCACATAGGTCGAGGGCACTGTTCATCTTCACATTTGTATATCTTTGCATTTGCATATCCAAGCTTAATAGTAATGTTCCGCTCAAGTTCATTTTTAAAACGAACTGTCTGCAAATTAATGTCAAACCATAAGAGCCACTTCTACAATATATGCACGTAAACATTTGAAAAAAAACAAATGGAGCTAGGTTAAACATACTATGTTCTAATTCTGTGCATATTTCTTGTGCAATAGCTAGTAAAACATTAATTTAATGAACTTTTAACACTAGAGCAAAGCAAATATATGCTGAATTAGAAAAGAAATAAACTTTCTTCCCTTGGTTGACAGTCATAATATCACAGGAAATAGTTAAAGTCACACAAGTATAAGTCTACTAATTTCAGCCCCTTAGAAATAGAAATTAAGAAGCTAAAATTACCATTAAGGACGACAGCAACATTTTAGTTGTAAAAAAAAAAAAAAATGGCACACAAGCAGTATCAGAAGTAAGCTAGAAAAGCAGTCACCTGGATGCCAGATATCGCTTTCACCAGCGTCGATTTACCATGTGCCACGTGACCAATAGTGCCTGATAAAAGATAATTAGGTCCAATGTATTAGTGTCAACGATAGGATTAAGGATTAGAAATCACACCCCATCTAAAAGGGGTTCACACATTCATACGTAGTAACGATGATTACCAATATTTATTGTAGCCTGACGAGAAATAACTTCAGGTGAGAGTGGATGTAACTGTGTTACATCCAGCTTGCTTAAGTCCTGCTCCATCAACCCTCCTTTCTCAGACATTGTTGCTTTGTTTACTTTCCACTCCTATATAAGCAAGTATTGTCATTCAAAAAATCCCGAAATAAGAAGGTGTTTGTTCATGGTGACAGAAATATGTAAAGGCCAATAAATTATACAATTCAATTAAAAAAATAAAATTGTCCTTATACCAAATAGTTTTAAATCACTGGTTTTAATTACTTCGTATACAATTTAAGCTAACCCAATCTTTAATACTGAAACATTTATTATATTATTCACTTCGAGTTCAATTTCATTAATGTAAAGCGAAAACGAAAGGGGTTTTTATGCAAACAAGACTCCTTAGTAACTAAGTTGGTCAGCAATTGCAAGCAGGACAGGTAAGTTGCCATAGCTTAAATCCATAGTAAAACAAAAACTCATTTGAAAATTTAGAATACCACCATTATTATTAAGAAAAAAATTTGAGTGTGTCCTATTAAAAGGGCTTATATATACACACACTCTCTAGTTTTTGTATAAGATTCTAAATTTGCACAGGGTAAGTCTTGTTTTTTAAAATCAATACATGGGTGATCTGTAATTGGCATATAATAAGCCTTGTAGTTCTTGTATTAAATTTCTTTTCCCCTTTTAATACTGAAAACCTTATTATATTACAATTTCATTAATATAAAGCCAAAACGAAAGGGATTTTTAAGAAAAGAATGATTCCTTAGTAACTATGTTTAGAGAGTGTCCCATTAAAAGGGTTCATGTATTGACACGTATATAATAACAGAGGTCTATAATGGCATATATATATACACACACATACACACACTATAGTGTCCCATACAAGTTAGCAGTTGCAGAGAGAGAGGGGGGCAAGCTTGAGAGTTGAGAGACAGCGGCCCGGCGGCTGAAGCTTGCGAACGACGAACGGCGAACGGCCAACCGGAACTGGAATGGCCGGCGATGGAAACTGAAAGGTATGGGTTTTGATTTTTAGAACAATCTGAACGGCGGGCGATGGAAACTGAATGGTATGGGTTTTTAAATTGATGGCACATATATATATATATATGAATGCAGGGGCGATTTTCCTTTTTAGTAATTCTAATCCTACTTTATATCAAAGTACGAAACAAATAGAAAAACAAATTTGGGGCAACGAATTTGGTGTGTGTGTGTGTGTGTGTGTAAAATACTGTAGCGCAAAGGGCGGAAACAAATTTATATATTCCACCTTTTGTCCGAAAAATCTTTATTTATTTTATTTTATTTTTTTTATTTGAACTTGGGAGCAAGAAAATTACACCGCACGATATATACCCCTTTTTTTTTCTTCTCAAAATTCTTTATTTATTTTATTTTTTAACTTGGGGAGCAAGAAATTCGTATTTTTTTTTTTTATTTTATTTAACACTAAAACTTTGTACAATTTAAATCTAATACCTGGGAATTTTACAAATCACACACTTATCCATTTTTACGTTTTAAAGGAGAACCAATGGGCTTCAAGTGAGAATTAGAAGAATAAAAGTTGGTCGAATTTAGGCAACAATTTTCTGCTATTGGATATAAGATTATTCTATTTACACAAATTTCTCTTAAAATCTACATTCACCCAAACCAATTGTCTTAAAATTTATTTTGTTTTTTGTTTTTGTTTTTTTTTTTTAATTCAATCCTATCACGATTTAATTTTATTTTTCATTGATTAATTGATTTTGTTATGTGACTTAGCTGTTTTGTTTTTCTTAAGTGATTAATTGTGTTTGTTTAATTAATTTAATTAATATTTGTGTGTATTTAATTTACATGTTAATTGAGATTGATTTAATTATATTATTTGAATTTATTTAAATTGATTGCCTTAGTAATATGTAACTTGGATTTATTACCTGTTTAATTACTATACTTATTTAATTGTTTTATTTAATTAATGTAATGTTTATTTATTTTCTGTATGGTAACTTAGGGTTACAGTTATATTTTTTAGTATAGGTGAGCCGCCGTAGGTTTGAACTGAGATAGTTTCATGGGCCGGTTAGGATAGGGATTAGGGCTTAGTCTCTGGTTATTCGTGGACTAGGGTATTAATATACACCTATAAATATAAAGCAATACATGGTTTAGGGTTTGGAGAACAGAATAAATGTATGTTCTGTAAACTACAAACAGAGCCCTAAATTGGTAGTGAAAACCAGAAAGATACAGAGAGAACCGGAGTGGGAGTTTGGGTGGTTCACAAAACAGAATCAAGGACGGAAGTTTGGTGTGTATTACTGGACTGTAGTAGGAGCAGCAAGGGTGGTTTAACACTCAGAGACGTGGAATTAGCTTTGCAAGTTTGGGTTTCAAAGGCAAGTCTTGTTCTTACTCTTTCCCTTTAATTCGTGTTCTGTGCATGCCTAGTTAAGACTCCAGGGATTAATCAAAGATTTAAAATAGATGAAACTAATTCTGTATGCATGTTTAAACCAGTTTCTGGTTCCATCATAGTACTCTGCCTTATTGTTGCTTAAAAGTATTAACTGGATACTTGTTGCCGATTGCTTTCAAATCTGGTGTTAGATTCCTATTGTGATCGTATATTAATGTTGGAGGATTAGTCTGAGACATTAAACGAGCTCTAAAATAAGTACTTAAAACAGTGTTTGAATTCACCAAAATACTCTGTTGTGGGTTGCTTATAAATTTCAGACTAAGTTTCTATGGTCAGTGATTCTAAACCTATTTTTCTATGCATGCTATCATTGCGTATAAGTGATTTAAAATTTATCTATGACTGAGGTTAAACCTAGAACAGAGATTTAAAAGCATCACAGAAGCTCCGTTAATCACCGGAGTTGGAGAAGAAAACACAGAAACAGTCGACGGCGTCTAAGGGAGTGAGAGCGGGCTCAAAAAGGTGACAGAGCCGGCTCTGTAACCCTTAGAGCCGGCTCCCTAATGTTGGAGCCGGCTCTTGGCAGCCTTAGAGCCGGCTCTTAGGGCCATAGAGCCGGCTCAATCATCCAAAGAGCAGGCTCCATTTTTCTAGAGCCTGCTCTTGTCCAGTTTTTGCATTTCTGTGAGGTTTTGGGCGTGTTTGGGCTATACAGTGTTTTCAGAAGCTGTTTAAAGGCTATTGTAAGGTGTAATTAAATGTTTGGGACTTATTAAAATAGTGAAAAACATTATTACAATATTGGATTAAGGAAAGGAGTAAAATACAGCTCAAGAAAAATCTATACGTTGCACTATTTTGCTAAGAGATTTAATTACTAGAACTTAGCAAATTGTTGGTATATAAATTAATTATATTTTATCATATTGTCCACCATGTTATAAACATAGTGGATTAACTGTAATTTCAACTATGATTGGGTTGGAATCCATTGGTACTCAATGGTTGTTAAATGGTATCAGTTTATGGACTATATGTGGAATTTAAATGCTATGACCTATTTTAGCTATTTAAATTATTGGATCATGATATTTAGGTTTTGAAGTGAATACCTAATGTTGATATATATGTATGAATTCATATTGGTGCACAAATTTGGAGGATGGCAATTAATTATATAGTGTTGTTTTAGTAACTATGCTATGTTGGAGGATTCGTTAGTTTTATATATTGGAGCTTAACAAGGTTGTTAAATATGATTTAAATATATATAATAAATTATATTTCTGGGGTATTAGAAGTAAAGTGAATTAACTGGAATGACCTGTGCTTAGGTTGGGTGTAGTTGATGCTTAAATTTCTGTTAACTGTATCAATTCATGGATTATGATGGTGAATGTGAATGCTTGAATTTATTGTAGCGATTTACATTATTGGAGTTGGATTTTAGGCTGTATTGAATGTCTAATATTTACGTATATAGATTAACTTATCTTGTGCATACTGTGGAGTGTGGTTGATGACTACTTAATATTGTTTTGTCAACTATGTTAACTGGAGGATTGTATGTACCGGTATGGGACGGTGACATACTAGGTATGGATTAGCTCAAGTACTAAATCCTACCTAATTTGTAATGAGTTGGATTAACCATAAAAAGGTTAAGTCCTACTTATATGGATATATATGAACCGGTATGGGACGGTGTCATATTAGGGATGGCTTAGTTCAAAACACTAAGACCTACCTATATTGGGAATGGATTAGTTCAAAACACTAAATCCTACCTAATTTGGATCAAGGTATAGATTGATCATAAAGGTTAAGTCCATCATCTACATGTGTCATATCAGTTGTGAATTGAATGACCTACTAGGATTTCAGGATGGATTTGTTATACATATATCAGACCACTACACAGATGGATGGTATACTGTATTAGGAGGAGTACGGACTTTATATATATATCATATGGTGCCGTGGAATGAGCTTGAGTCTCATGACCATGGTTAGGGCGCGTATATCGCCTAGGATGGATAACTGGACATAGGTGTTGTTCCCTGGTAGGTCTAGGTACCCATGCCCACCTTAGGGTGCGTATTCGCATGTTGCCTTCTACTCAGGCTGAGACAGACCTACTGGACTAGTGAGCGTCCTATAGTGTGTACTATATATACATATATGGACTACTCTAGATATTGTTGAGTCTTTCTAGGATGTATCTGCGTATCGGATTACTGTTTAGATCGTAGTAGATCAGGACTTGCATGTGGGCCTGACCCACTCTATTATTTTTCAGGTGTTCGACAGTACCAGGCTTAGAGCTTGATCGGGTTTATGCAGATACAGACACTCACTCTTCCGGTTACATAGGATTTCCTTTCTATTTTAATTTTAGATTTTAATTCTGTAAATTTATTCAAGGATTAGGGGTCCACTAGGTGGATTCCCGAGTTGTACGGTTTTAAATCATATTACTTTATTTATTTCAAGTTTGAGGATTCTTATGTTAGATTTCTTTCAGCGTATTATTAATTTGTTCTTAATTCAGTTTTATTTCTGCTTGTTTACATATTAATTGTTTGGTACCCCTCGGATCTGTGCTCGGACTTGATCACCCATGGCTTTAGAATCGAGGGGTATCACACGCACCCTAACCAACGAG